ACTTTTATGTGGGCTGAAACTGCTTGTGATATATGGGAACAAGCAAAGTCCACCTATTCAGAGCAGAGACACTATGCCAAGATATACCAACTGCAAGCTGAMTCCTCTACTTGCAAGCAGGGGGAGAGGAGTCTCTCGATGTACTATTCTGATTTGACATCGATATGGAAAGAACTTGATCACTACCAGAATGTACTATTGCTAAGAGAAAGGGTGTTAGATCTTGTACCACTAATCATCCTATCTCTAATTTTGTGTCCTATTTTCACATTTCACCTTCATTCCGTGCATCCTCTCTTCTGTGGACAGTGTTCCCGTTCCTAAGAATGTGGTAGAAGCTTTATTTAAACCTGAATGGACAGATGCAATGCAGGAAGAAATTGATGCATTACACAAAAATGGCACTTGGGAGTTGGTGGATCTTCGGGAAGGAACCAGTGGGTTGCAAGTGGGTGTTCACAGTGAAATACAAGGCTGATGGAACTGTTGAAAGGTACAAGGCTAGACTGGTCGCAAGAGGTTTTACACAGGTTTATGGAGTGGACTATGCAAAGACTTCTGCTCCAGTAGCCAAGATGAACTCTATCAGGATTCTTCTTTCATTGACAGCAAATCTTGACTGGGAACTTCACCAATTGGACATCAAAAATGCTTTCTTGAATGGTGACATGGAAGAGGAAGTGTACATGACCCGACCTCCAGGTTTTTGTGCCAAAGGCAGTGAACAAAATGTGTGCAGGTTAAAAAAATCTTTATATGGGTTGAAACAATCACCTCGGGCTTGGTTTAGTAAGTTCCATTTAGCAGTTCAACAGATGGGGTTCAAACAATGCCAATCAGATCACACTCTATTTGTGAAAAAAGGTGAAGGGAAAATTGCAGCTCTATTTGTGTATGTGGATGACATAGTGATCTCGGGAGATTGGGAGGCTGAAATACRGAGACTAAAAAAATTCTTAGCCACTCAATTTGAGGTGAAAGATCTAGGCCCCTTACGTTATTTCCTTGGAATTGAAGTTGCCCTCTCTCACAAGGGCATCTTTATTTCCCAACGGAAATATGTACTAGATTTACTAGAAGATACAGGCAAGTTGGGGGTAAAACCAATTGACTCACCAATTGAATCTAATCATCAGYWGGGAGACAGTYARKGAGAGTTTTTGAAAGATGTGAAGAAGTTCCAGAGACTCGTAGGGAGACTCTTGTATTTGTCTATGATAGGCTTGATATTGCTTATGCAGTGGGTGTCCTTAGTCAGTTCATGCACAATCCTAGGGCAACTCACTTTGAAGCTGCATAGAGGATCCTTAGATACCTCAAGAAGTTTCTTGGAGCTGGTTTGTTGTTCCAGAAACATGGACACTTAAAGGTGGAATTATATACTGATGCTGATTGGGCAGAAGCAGTTGATGACCAAAAGTCTATCAGTGGGTATTGTGCCTTTGTAGGAGGAAACCTGGTCACATGGAGAAGTAAAAAACAAAGTGTGGTGGCTAGATCTAGTGCTGAAGCAGAATATAGAGTGATGTCTCATGGGGTTGCTGAAATCATGTGGATAAGAAATCTGTTAGGTGAATTGGGCTTTGCAGTGAGCAAACCCTATGTCACTCTACTGTGACAATAAAGCTGCCATCAATATTGCTGCTAATCCAATTATAAAAAAAAAATATTGCTGCTAATCTAGTCCTGCATGATAGGACCAAACACATTGAAGTGTACAAGCATTTTATTAGAGAGAAACTTGTAAATGGAGAAGTGTGTACTCCATATGTCAGTTCAGAAGAACAACTTGCAAATATCTTCACCAAAGGTCTTCATCATGTGCGGCACAATGATTTGTGAGACAAGTTGGGCATGATTGACATCTATGCTCCAACTTGAGGGGGAGTGTTGAAATAATGTAGTTATTTGTGTTAGGGTCTGCTTGGCTAGGTAAAGCCTTTTTTTTTTATTTTCTGTTATTGTACTCACTTACAACAGGGGCGCAAGAGTCTTTTCCCTTCTTATTTCTGCCGCCCTATATAATATAATAGAAGCTGGCGCCGCCAGTTCTGTTTCATTGCTCCAAACCTTTTCTTCTTCTCTTCTCTCTTCTTCCCTTCTCTTCTCTACTTCCTCATATTTTAATCGGATTTATTGCCAAGAGGCTCCTCCCATTGAAGGATTTTTGAAATTAAACTTCGATGGGAGTAGTTAAGGCAACCCAGGCCCAGCTGGATTAGGAGGGGTCATCAAAGACAAGGAAGGAAACTTAAGAGCACTCTTCTCAGGACCAGTGGGGAATGGAGACTCCTTAAAGGCAGAATTGTACGCAGCCCTACAAGGTGTATAGATTGCAAGAGAGTTAGGATTGGAAAATTTGGTGATAGAAGGGGACTCCAAGGTGGTGGTGGGTTGGCTAAGAAACCTAGATTCAGTGATCTGGGTTTACAGAAATGAATTGAAGAAATTCAAATGGTTAACTTAGCAGATGGAGGTAACTATACAGTTGGTGGGGGAGGGAGGCAAATGCTTTTGCTGATTCTCTAGCTAAACAAGGGGTAACTAGGGAACACTTGTACTGGGCCCAATTGTAACTTTATGAGGCTTCTGTATCAATGAGTGAGGCTGCACCTCGCGCCTCATATTGGGATGCTTGTAACGAACTATTTATCATTCGCTTCTAATGAAATCAATTGAATTTTATCTATCAAAAAAAAAAAGAATCACACCCGGAAAAGAATATTTATATTAATAAAGGACAATTCTGTCCTCTCATTAGAAGTAAATACAAATAAATTACAAATGATCTAGTGTACAAGATGCATAATACAATGGCGCTCCCAGATATTGAAAAATACAATATTATCCCTCATCTCTTCTATGCCTCCAAAGTAACATAAGGCTCTAGGGTAGATCATCAGAAACATAGTGTTACTTTTTCCAAGGTGCAACTTACCTAATTATCCAATTAACTCAAACATAGTGTTACTTAGGTCCTTGTTAGAATGATTTGTTTAGCTTTAAATTGTAGAAAGACAATGTGTATTAAAATCTATAAGATTTTTACCTACTACCAACTTCATTGCTTTTCATGTAATTGATGAAATGAACTTCTATTTTGATTTTTGACAAGGTTTCATATACTACCACCCATCTTTGTATATATATATTTTTCTTATTCTTGTCAGCAAAAGAAAATTGCTGGTCTACTTGGTAAGTGGCTTATGTTAAAACTTTTCAAAAGCTGACTAGGATTCTGGGAATTGTTAGTATTGCACAATGTTAATAGTATTGCATATCTGTTCCTTTTAATTGCTAGGTTGTTTATGTTTCCACCTGTAATTCTGATATACCATTTCTCTGTCTGGCTACTTGTAAATTGTTTTTTCCTCTTTGATGCTAGATTTTGAATTTATGACTAACATATTTGGTCATATTATTTGATAAAAGTTCATGATTTGCAGGAGAAAAATCTCAAGGAGCATTTTGATAACATTCCTACTCCAGATGAGCTTCATGCTTTGGGCATGGAGGGTTTTAATGCTGATATTATTCTAGTAGATGCAGATAAAGATAAGAAGCTTTCCATGCTAAAGCAGCTGATTGTGGCATTGGTGAAAGGATTGAATTCAAATCCAGCAGCAATGATTAAAAAGATTGCTGGTTTGGTAGGTATTCCAGCCTCCTCCTGTACAATTGTTAGAATCTGTATTTCTTTATCCAGTTACTTTGTCGAGGCTGCTCCCTTTGTTTCATTCCCAGTATCTTTAGTTAATCTTTGTTTGTTTATTTTTCTTTTTTCCTTTTTGAGTTATTTTAGTTGCACAACTCTGGAATTGCCTATGTGGAGCCAATTCAGAGGTTTTTCTTTCTTTTCTAAATAAAAAGAAAATTTTCATGTCAAAATTGGTTGAGTGGAATTCTACTAATTGCTTTTACATGCATTGAGAAAAATTTCTTTAAAATGTAGACATATGTGCAGATAGGTAGATGAATAGATAAGAGTAAAGGTGTAGGGTGTGGAGTATGAAACTGGGGAGTTGAGCGTTGTTTGGAAAATGGTTATGGAAACTTCATAGGGATACTAAAACCTTAGAGTTCTTTATTTGTTTTATGGATAGCTAATTCATGTTTTATTTAGTAGAAAAAATATAGATTTACAACTATTGGGCAGTCTCCACTACCCCAACCAATTCATAATCTTGTGTTATCTTGGGGATCCACATCCATTGAAGTAAACCCCCAAAAATGTTGGTTTCTATTTTACCCCTGTTTAGTAGCTAGTCTCTTCCATGCTATTTGCCAATCTTGGTGTCCATGCTACTTGATTCCCTAGTCCTGTAAGTGCTTTATCTTGCTTCTACATGTCTATATAGCCATGGTCCTAGTTTATTTTGTGTGATCCAACTCACCATTGTTCAAGAATCACCTTCCATTATAAGATCTTTAAGTTTAACGATTTTCCAGCTTCACCAAGCTAAAAAAAAAGAAAAAAGATTTCCCAAGCTTCAGCCCCTGATATAATGCTAGTAACCCTTCCCTTGATGATTTTCCTTGGCTCGTAGATCCTAAGAGGAGTGCAAGCACCAGTGTGGGGAGATGTATTAAGGTGTATACGAGTCAAACACTAATTTATATTTCTAATGTCTTTGGTAGGCTTAGAGGTGGCTTGTTTGGGGCTTCCCCTTGCAAGAACTTTACAAAGGTGTTGAAAAGGATGGCGTCGAATGGGATTTCTCAACATGGATTAGCTGAACTGAATGGTAATTGGGAAAGTTCTTTGTCCTCTTCCCTTTCTTCTGACAATGTCCACAGGAATGTTTTGGCATTGGGAAGCCCCTCTTGGATGGGAGATGATGAGGCCATAATGGAGATTGAACATGTTGAGAATATGTAATGCCAGGGGTCTTTTGGTTTTTTATTCATCTATTTGTATTTGGGTGCCCAATTAAGGGCTTTCTTGTAATTTCTCCTCATAATATAAATATCATGTATTAGGGTGTGAATAGTAACACACTCCTTGCTCTCGTAACTTGCTCTCTCTTCTCTTCTCTACCCAACTCAACCTTGAATCTTGCAACTTGGTATTAGAGCACCTCATAGGCTCTTAGGAAATCCCTTGTTGACCTACACTTGAAGGGTGACCTGCTGACATTAGACTGCTGCTGGATGACATCAGCAATTGGGACAGGTGGTGGCAAAACTCTTGAATCTGGTTCACTTTTGTATTCCTTGATTTTAGAAACATTTTTGTATGAATTTCGTGGTTGTTTGAAGCTTCTGTGATTTTTCAAGAAAAATTTGCAGAAAATACAGATTAGATGTTGAAGCTTTTTTTTGCATGTTTGGTGGAATTTTTCTCTGTAAAACCTAGACTACTTGGGTCATTTTACATTTTGGGGATGGTGGGAAGTGGTCTCGTGTTTTTCTAAGCCCTAGAAAATTTTTGGGAGATTTTATTCTCCCTCCATATTGCCACTAGCCAGGTTTTGGTCCCTTATTTGTCTCTTAACAAAGTTTTGACCTGTCCTCTTGGGTTTGTTGTGTGCTGGTTGGGTGTTGGGGTTCTATTTGGCTGCTGAGAGATTCCTTTGGTAAGGTATGGAATCGTCCAAGGATATTAAGATGGTTTCCAATGTGCTTTTAGGAAACATAGACATAAAACTTGATGTGACCAACTTTTTGGAGTGGTCTCAATTTGCCAAGCTTACCATTGGAGGTAGGGGTAAGTTAGGTTACATTACAGGGACTGAATCTAAGCCCAAATCTGATGGTGATGTCATGGCTGGTTTGCTCTATGTATCCCCATATTGCTCACAATTATATGTTCCTATCCACTGCCAAAGACATATGGGATAGGGTCACTGGTAGCAATTTCCAAGCCAAAAATGCTACTAGGGTCTATCAGCTCTGGAAGGAGGCTTTTGTAGTATGCATCACAGGGAGAAGACTGCAGCTATGTTACCTATGTACTATTCTTCCTTATAGTCTCTTTATAGACCATTTGGAGGCCTTGGAGTGTGTAGAGAACACTGATGTGGTCCCCACTATACTGTACTCGTATGACTATAGTCAGCTGTTAGTTGGTAGTTATTTCAGTCAGTCTTTAATTATTAGTCTTTTATTTTTGCCATGTAAGCAGTAAGGGTATTTCAGCCCTTTTATCTTTATTTGAGAATTAATATAAATAGTAAGAGGGGCGACAGATCAATGATCCTCTCCTTTTCTAATCTCCCCTTTGAACTCTTCTTCTCCTCCTCTCCTCTCTTCTCTTATTCTCTTCCTCTTTCTCAATTATTCTCTTCCTCTTTGATTGTAGTCTTATTCGACTACATGGTATCAGAGCCAACCTAGGAATTCTTATGGTAGTCTAATATGGCTGACTACATAAGAACTTCCTAGGATTGGAAGCTTTCAGCAAAGCAAGACCATTGGCTGAGTCTTGGAGATTGTTGGCAGTGTGTGGCTAGCATTGGAGGATGTCCAGCAATCAGGAAGAGTCAGACGAAAGGAAGAACTTTCATGATTAGGGTTCAAACTTGATTTTGAAGGTGGTGGGCAGAGTTTCACTGAAGTAAGTTGAGTTTTTGATATTGATCTATTAAAAGAACATTTTTTCTGGTTATTTTAAGAGGTGCGGCTGAGAGATTTTCTCTTCTTGGACTGTTCTTTGTGATTGATCTATTAAAAGAACATTTTTTTCTGGTTATTTTAAGAGGCGTGGCTGAGAGATCTCACTTCTTGGACTAGTTCTTTGTTTGTTTCTTGACCTACGACTGGTTTTAGGTTTAAGACCCTAAATTCTTAACTGTCGCCAATTCTAGCACAGCAGATAGTTCAGTTTCAGCCTTGCAGACTGAGGTGTTTAGTTCTTTGGAAGATCATCAGAGCTGTTCTAATTTTCTGGGTGGATCCGACCTAGAAAGGTAAAGTAAGTTTCGGCCGTTAGCAAATTCTGGGTGTAAATAGCCAGTCTCAGTGATAAAAGAGGTATTTTTTGACCTTAGGTTCTGCTGTTAGCAAATTCTGGGTGTAATTACCTAGTCTCAGTGATAAAAGAGGTATTTTTTGACATTTACCTTGACAAAAAATGGAGTTTAAGAGCCAAGGGGAAAGTTTTTCGGGGGCTGGTGGTGCTGGTAGCATACCTTAGAACAGTTTTCAGATTACCACTTTCAAGTTTGATGTATCAAACTACTTGGAGTGGGCCCAATCAGCCATGATGGTTATTGGGGGTAGAGGAAAACTAAGTTATTTGCTGGGGGATGTGAAGGAACCAGCCAAGGAGGACCAAATATATGCCAAATGGGTTCAGGAGAACTATTTGGTTATGACATGGCTGTGCAACTCCATGCAGTCACATATCAGTCAGAACTATTTATGGGCAAAAACAGCTAAGGAAATTTGGGATATCATGAAAGAGACCTCCTCCCCACCCCTTAATTTTGCTAGGGCTTATGAGCTGAAATGTGAGGTAAATAACCTTAAACAAGGAGAGAAACTAGTCTCGGTTTATTTTTCAACCTTGAAATCCTTGTGGCATGAAATTGATCATTGGGTGGGGACTACACCTATAAAAGATCAGTTTCCTTCCTTGTATGCTCTTTCGGACTTTAAGAATGAGCCAGTTTCTTCTTTCATCACCCCTTCCTTTTCCAATTCTGGGCTAGGGTGGAACCTGGGTTTGAGAAGGGCTGTGAGGGACTTAGACCTTGATAGTATTTCGAGCCTCCTCGATCTTCTTGATAATGTCTTCTTAGACCCCTCAAATGTGGACTCTAGAATTTGGACCCCTACTCCAACTGGCTCTTTTTCTTGTGCTTCCTTCTTTAAAGTTTTAAGCTAGCCCACTAATCCTGTTACCCCCCGTTTCCCGGTTAAGGAGGTTTGGTGCAAACCAATTCCTCCCAGGGTTGGTAGTTTTTGTTGGGACGCCTATCTGGAAAGAATTAACATTGGTGATTTGCTCCAAAAGAAGAGGCCCAACACTTTCTTGTCACCTCATTGGTGTGTTCTCTACAAAGCGGAGGGGGAAACTGAAGGGATGAGAGATCCATCATATGGATGGCCGAACCTTGCAGGAAGGTTGGGCGAAATTTCAAAAATTTCTCTCTCCCATCTGGGAATCACATTCCCTATTTTGAAAACTGCATTTTCAAGGATCATTCTTGAAACAAAACCGGACCAGATCTGAAACCAAAGGAAAGGAGAAGGAAATACCTGATACAGAATTAAAAGGAATTCCCAACGTAGGTGTTCACGCCCATAGAGGACACCAAATCCGCCTCCATTGAAGATGACACAACGAATGTTGAGGCAGGATCAACATGAACGGTTCTTCAGCAAGAACTTGGGATTCTTCACCAAGAATCGAGTAGGGTGATGTGAGCACGACTTCTAATTGTTTCTTCACCAGGAAACAATATCAAGAACACTTATTGATCGCTCCAGCAGGTGGAGATCGAATTGGGGTGATGCTAAGAACTGAGGGAGAGACGAGACTATAGAGAGGAGTGTGTTCTCTTTGTGGATTTCGCCCCCTATTTATAATCCATTTAGGATTAGCTTCCTAATCTGATTAGGAATGAGATTTCCTAATCTAAATCTTGTATTTAGATCTGGACTCTCAAGTTGATAAAACCTATCTTATCCAACTGCTAATCCCACT